AAACATTTTTATCCATCGTTGCCAATAGCTGTGGCTCTGTGCAAAGTCAAGTCAGCTCTTTGCGTGACTGAGTTGCGACTCAGCTATCACTGCAGCACAGTTGGAGCCTGTTTGCAGGTTGCTCCCACTCTTGGGACATTACTGGGGCCACAATATTCTTTATATAGGGGCAGGTAGTGAAAGGATGAAGACTAGTGGTTTTAAACTGGACAAGAGTGGATTTAGATGAGATATGAGGAAGAAATTCTTTGCTGTGAGGGTGGTGAGACACTGGCACAGGTTAGCCAGAGAAGCTGTGGCTGCTCCTCCCTGGAAGTGTTCAAGGTCAGGCTGGATGAGGCTTTGAGCAACCTGGTCTAGTGGAAGGTGTCCCTACTTGTGGCTGCTTGTGGAATTGGACTAGATAAGCTTTAAGGTCCCTTCCAACCCAAACCATTCTACTCTCTGGTTCAGATGAGGAATTTAACCTGACAGTTAACAGGCTTTCCCCACGCAGCAGGCTCTGGTTCTCCACACCAGCCATGCTGCATTTGTGAAGTTCTTGGAGCTTCTACCAGTGTGAGTAGAGAGTGGCTGTACCCATGTCCCCCTGCAACCATGTGCAACCTCAACAACTGCTCACAACTGTAGACAGTTGCACCTCACAGCAGCCTCACTCCCCATGAGCAAGGCTGGCATGAGGTGTGGGCATCCCTGTCTCCCTCCCACAGCTACAAACAGCAGCTTTCTCCATGCACTTGGTTTTTCATTTGTCCTGGACTAACCTAATGGTCTGTTCAACCAAAGAACAAGTGACAGAACAAGAGGAAATGGCCTCAAGTTGTACCAAGGGCAGTTCAGATTGGATGTGAGGAAGAATTTCTTTGCTGAAAGGGTTCTGAGGCATTGGAAGGGGTTGCCCAGGGCAGTGGTGGAGTCCCCATCCCTGGAGGGATTGAAGAGTCATGTAGATATAGTGCTGAGGGACATGGGTTAGTCGGGGACTTGTCAGTGTGAAGTTAATGATTGGACTCAATGATCTTAAAGGTCTTTTTCCAATCTGGGCAATTCTGTGACTCTGTGATGATAATGCCCAACTAGTTGTGGTTCCAGTGCTGTGTGGTTGGTGTTACCAGCTCCAGCGAGCACAGAGCAGTGCTTTGGGCAAGGGATCCAGCTGGGACAGGCAGGGCTGACCCCTCTTCTCCCTGCCAAACCCACTTAGCCAGCCCACGGCCCCACACTTGCCACATGTGTTTTCCTTCCCACCTCAGCTCCCAGCAGTGTGGGGGAAGAGGAGAGCAGCAGCTCCCGGCAAGCCAGGCTCCTCCTCGCTACCTGCAAGCACAGCAGCTGAGCGCTTCCAAACAGGAAAGCAAATAAACAATCTCAATGAGTAAACACAGCCTCTGGAGTCTGTGTTTCAGAGGAAACCACAATTTCAAATCCCTCTCCTGTTTGCTCTCTAGGAGATGGGCTGAACATCCAAAGCCACCAGCACCACCAAGCATCCGTGCCGTGCCCAGCCAGCCCCGTGGCACACACTGCAGCCCCTCGCCAGCCCTGCCACCAGCTCCCAGACCCCAGCATGGTTGTTTAACATCAAAACTACAACCCAGCCCCTGCCCCGTGCTGGCACACCTGCAGAGGTGGAGAAGTAGGACAGCGAGCCTCTTTGCCAGCATTATTTTTCCCTCTGGTCTCTACAGAAATCAGGTTTGGTCTCCAGCCAGCCCAGGGAAGGAGCATTTGCTCCAGTATATATATATATATAAAAAAAAAAAGCAAAATACTCCTTAGCCCCTGTTTTGGACTGCAGAGACAGAGAAGCCACAAAGCCAAAACTCCCCTCTAAAGTCCTTCATGATCCCAGGGACAGGACCTAGAAAAGCCATAACAACCCACAGTTTAAGGCTTTCCTTTTTTTTTTTAAACTCATATTGTGATTTCTACCTAAGAAGACAGAGTTTCACGTAGGCAAAGCTGATGAAAACAATGCAAAAGACAAGAACATCTACAAAATAACACATGTGGAAAGTACTACGGGGCCAATTAGCTTTTCATGAAGCTATCTACAAATTCCAGGAGCCGTGCTTCTAGACCTGGTTAAATTGTGGAAAAATGGATCATAAAATCACGATACAGTTACACATGGGAATATTACAGTAAGCCATTTCTCTGAGACATTGCTAAAGTGGTTTTCCTACAATCCCCCTGGCCTCTGCAAGGCTGCAGCGTTAACCTGCAAGGACACAGCATCCCATCACTTAATCCCAATGGAAAAGCAGATTCCCCACTGATCCCCCCCAAAGCTGGGTCACGCACTGAGCAAGGTCCATGCTGGTGGGAGCCCACTCTGGTTTACTGCTCCAAGTGACAGCAGAGCATCCCAGTGGCTTTCCAGCCCTGCCCAACCTTCCTCCAGCATCCCCCAGGGACTGCATCTCTCATGTTCATTTTTCTAGTAAAAAAAAACCCAACAAAACAGAAGCCCATTTCACTGCCCCCCCGAGCAGCAAAAGGACTGAGCACCCATCACCTTTGCACCCTGTGAGACAGCCTGTGCTCCTGGGGAGATACAGCCTGATGGTACTGGGAAGAGCATCCAACCCCCATCACCTCCCAAAGTGAATCAGCAGCATTTTACCTCTGAGGCACTGATCCTTATTAAATTAAAAGCCAAGGAAGGTCCCTAAACCTTTCCATTACAGGTCAGTAATAGCTGGTTCTTTGCAGAAGAGCGGGAAAGGGAGGCACCTTATGGTCCCAGCTATCGGGGACACCATGACAGATCATGTCTGCCCAGTGTCACAACTGGTGCTTGGGAAGATTATTTGGGTACCAGGAGCTGTG